GCCCCCCAACTAAGATAGCACCTCACCCTTTGCATCATCATGGATATGCAGAAGCCAAAAACACGCCAGAAATGCCAGAAATGACCATTTTGTTGAGCGTGGTACAACAGACGGTTGGCCCTGCATGAGACCTCTAACGCATTTTTATTGTTACAACCTACATCCTCCTGTCAATGAAAAGAATGAGGCACTAGCTTGTCCTCCGATTACTCCTAGGCATTTGCTTTTTTCCAAAATAATAAATACTTATAAGCGAATATTCTTTCGAAAAAATTTTCCACAAGTCACTACACTTCAGGGTAACAGTGAATGGAGTGTCTCAAGAAAGTCGCCTACCAACAAAGGAGGATCTGCAGAACATTCTCCAGAACATCGCTGAACTCCGTAGCACCCGATCGTAAGATTCCGGAGCACATAAGGTGTGACCGAATTCCGCGTTTCTATTTTCTACCACACTCATCGTATATTATGAAACTGTTCAGAAAGAAGCGACAGTCCTATCAGGACTACTTGGACAATCTTGGCCGAGCCGACTACGACGTTCGAATAGAGGAAGGTATGTGTCGGTGTCAAACTTTGCTACTCTTAGCAATTCGACTGGTACAAGTTGCGTCGCGCTTGCCCAGCGTTCGAACGATGAAATTGAATCGCAAAACGACTGGCGACGCTCGTACCCTCGAATTGCTAACAAGGGAGGTCCTTCAGGACATGGAGCGTTTTTTCAAAATGGTTTTCTGAATGTTGTAGAGGCTCATGTGAGGAACACAGAACCATGGTCCATTTTTCCTGAACGCCCCCAGGAATGTCAAAACAGCGGGGAAGAAATGGTCCAAAGTTCGATCCTCCGTGATGACAAATTTTTGCAATTTATGTTGACGCCTCCAAATTGCCGCAAAACGCGACAATGGCGAAGGCGCCATTTGGCGGCAATCTGGGGGCGCCAAACTATATTGCAAAAATTAGTCATCACCGGGGATCGAACTCTGGACCATTTCTTCACCACTGTTTTGACATTCCTGGAGGCGTTCAGGAAAAATGGATCATGGTTCTGTGTTCCTCGCATGAGCCCCTACAACATGCAGAAAACCATTTTGAAAAGCTCCATGTCCTGAAAGACCTCCCTTGTAAGGTCGTTGTCAGACTTTGCGACTCCGTGGATTTGATAGAGATTCCACCGATTTGCAGTCTGACACCTGCTTTAGACTGTCAGTAGGCATGCGCTACCATATTTTATTCTTGATGAAAGGTAAACATGCATTGCTTATCCTGTGTCAATCATACATAATCTGGTGAAATTAACATAGGAGTATTCATATATAGAAATCTCTCGCTTGTTTTTTCCAAGCAAAGGTACCTCCTTCAAAATACCATCTCCATCTTGTGGAAAATGGGTTCCCATTCGTGGTCGGCGAAGAGTGAAGAAGAGCAACCGCTGAGAAGCACTGAATAAGGCCCTCCTTTTTTGGCGGTAGGAGAGTTCGAGATGCACTCAGTCTAAGAGACACTGGGCGGCAAGGCGAGGCGTCAGCCGGAGGCGAAAGAGTACAGCGGGGAGCGAGACAGCAGGACAGCAGCAGTGGGCATTCATAGATGTTTGAGGTGTTCACGGTTGCAAGTTCCATGCTTCCACACCCTCTTCAGGGGGTTTAGGCCGCGAAAATGGCCCACCTTAAGTTTGCAGACCCCCAAAATTATTCGCCAGAGGGATTGCTGCAATGATTCAATCGTGGGATGTGCCCCTGAGGGCGAAATTGAGATGTGGAGCGTTCCGACAGCGAGAGTTGGCAGATTGTTGTAGATGTGTGTAGACAATTCTATCTATGAAAGTAAAGCCGTAATATGACTTATCAACCTGACCCTACCTTATGGTTAGCCCATTAACAGTCTCAATGATCTTCGTTACCATAACATGCTAGTAGAACTATTGTAGTTCGAAAGCTAGTGTCATTATCCACAGGATGGCAGAATATACTCTATCCGTTCGGCTCATGGGCAATGGACGAGCAGCTGTTGGGCCAGGCTGGACGAGAAACGCAGACGAATCTCGGCTTCGACTGTCCGTTTTTTGGTTTCAGGTGGGCTGCGCACACAAACCAATACTGTAATTTACAGGCGAATACCGTACTTTCTACTGCATATTCAGGTTCAACTATACCTTCGTCTACCCGATGGGTATGATATCATTCGCGATGCCGTCGTTTACCGCACCTCCATGGACTTTCCCAAATCCTTCATGGCCGAAGCAACGGGTATGTTTCATAAGATTGTTACCATTCATGCTCGAGCAGTCATATTATTGATTGACATCGATTCTATCCATTTACATATACTTGAGCAGTTTACTATATCTACACATGAATTGGAAAAAGTGGCGTGTTGGTTTGGCCATGATCTTTAGCAAAAAGCTCCCACAAATTACATTTACCCAGTGAAAGCTTGTGATAACTATGTGTAATTGATCATTCAGTGACGTCATTGATTCGATCGTTTCTCATGTTTTCTTCTTCGTCCCTACACTACTTACCACCTTCACCTTGGTTCTCAAAGGCCTGGTTTTCATTGCAAACTACGCCTTTAAAACAATCAATG